ATATTTGTTTTATTCTCCACTTTTTAGTTATTCGCTCTAAATAAATTATATTTCCAAAAGAATGTTTGCGCTAAAATGTGACCAGTTGCTCGCAATCTCAAAAAAAAGTTTTCTGTCCCTTCAGACAATTAATAAAAACAACACAACATTTATCCGAACCTTCCTTTGTGCACTCAAAAAATCAACCAACCTTGATAGTCCACAGTCGTTCGAGCGATCGCTAGTACTTATCTTATTAACTCACCTTAGTTTCGAATTAGTTGAATTAATTTTTAATCACTACGATAGCATCTTAAAATTTAAAAAGAAAAATTCTTGCGTTGTCATCGAAAAAGAATGTATAAGTACTTCTGGCTATAGCGTCTTTACAAAATATATTTTTACAGCTTTTTTCTATACTTTGTGTGTGTGTAAACGTGTGTTTTTGGAAATAACACTCACTGAGGGATAGTGAGGGTAAGTGAGAGATAGAGAGGTGGAAAGAGTGAGAAAATGTGTCAAGAAATGGAGAAGAAAGAGACATTTTGGAGAAAACAACGAAAACAAAGGAAGAGAAAATAAAAGAAATATCAGTCAATCAAACGAAAAAGAACGACGATTCAGTGATAATACGCTAAGAAAAGCAACAAAGACTAGAGTTTGACACTCCAAGAGCTTTACATTATCGATATATTTGCGTTGAGACAGAGTGGTTGCAAGAGAGGTTTTTGAAATATTTCACGGGCGATCTTATCAAGCCTGCTAAAGTATACAAATACAGCCAAAGTTGATAGCAGCACACAATGAGAACATTAGTTATTAATTGAATGGATTGAAGAGACAGACTTTGCTCTAATGTAAACACCGTCACGCTAATGCGATGATACATCTTCAGTGGTTTAAAGAGATGTAGAATGGAAGTTTTTCAAACTTTCAAAGCAAACAAACTTTGAGAAACTCGAACCATACATATACAACCACTCACCCACTCACCCACACTCATACACATACGCACATTCTCAAACACACAAATACAAGCACTCACATACACACACACACACTCATAAACACACTCTCTTTCTCACACACATTCATACACAACCTCACAAAATCTGACCCACATCATCCAACGCGACTATGTCTATTGTAAGTTCTGTTTTGTTTCATGCAGGTTACATGTTGACGCTCACTGCCTTAGATTTTGTTTTCTGCTGATTGTCTCGCATCTCACAGAGGCTATCACACACACACACAAGCACACACACACACCCACGCATGCACACACGCACGCTCGCACACGCACACACACATACACACACATAAATATATATATATACACACACACACATGCAAAAACTCATAGAAACAGTGGTTTAATCTCTTGATATTAAAATTGATAAAAACATGAAATTTACAAAATGAATTTCCTTTTTTTTAAAATTAATATGTTCTAGAAATAAACTTATTTTGCAAAAATTTCATTAAAGTCTTTGCACAAACCCATACCTAATTTATTGGATAACTGGAACAGCATTTCAATATTTTTCTGTGTTCGTTAAATAGATTTTCATAAAAATTTGTAAAGACAATTTCACGTAACTCAGGATTAAAACACAGCTTATTTATTAATTGTAGATTCAAATTGCTAAACGTGATGAAACATTATTGAATTAACACAAGGTTTATGTTAAGTGCAGTTAAAAATCAATAAAATGAATTCCATGTTTTGAAGTTTATAAAATACATTTAGATATTTAGGAAAAAAATAAAAAAAGAGTGTGTCCCACCAAGTGCCGATTCCTCCTTCCTCGGTTGAACAAGAGCGTCGGCTCTATAGCTTCCTTGCGGGTTTGGCTACATTGCGTCATACTTCTGCAATGTGGATCCCTGATTCTTCAGAAGACTGAGTTCATTTCAAATTTGGCCTCGCTTTCTGTAACTATACTTTGTTTTATGTGGACGAGTAGTTAGCCCATCGCACACCCAAAATCTAATGGGCCAATGCACAACGTTTTATTTGGCCCCTAACCGCGCAAACCTGATCTAAAGAAGCCATGACACAAATAACATGCTAACAAAGCAGAATATGCTACAGGTTACCTGACCAGTACTACCACATTTCAAAGTATTTTAGTTCCGTTTTGTTTCGTTGAAGTCAAATAGCATTTATAACTGACTGTCAAAATCAAACAACACACAGATTAGAAAGGTTAAGTGAGTAGACCAAAACTGGTAAATTCAATTTGGCTTTGTGTGTTAAATGGAAAAATTATCTATTGAGAAGTATCAAACGTTAAGATATAATTAATTATTTGTGCGAACAGATAATAACTTTTAAAATGTTAATTGAATTAATAAATTAATGTAAAGATCTCATTCGACGTTATTTAACAATTTTCTAATAATAACAAAATAATTGCGTAAGATACCAAACTTCGAAAGGTTAATTCCACGATACATCGAATAATGTTTACAATAAGTGAGGTATAATAATTTAAATAGTAGAATGCTTTTAAGAATAAACAGTCCAAATGTAGTTGGAATATAACAATTAAAAATAGGTATTTATTTGTACGACTGGTATGTGCTCTCTTGACGGGTTACCGAAATCTGCGCTGTATCTATGCATGCATATGTAAATTTTTGCATGCATTAATATGTAGCTTTATGTATTCATAACACCAACAACAATAATACTAATAATAAAAAAATAAATAAATATATAATAATAATAATAATAATAATAATAATAATAATAATAATAATAATAATAATAATAATAATAATAATAATATAATAATAATAATAATAATAATAATAATAATAATAATAATAATGATAATAATAATAGTAATATTATTATTATTATTATTATTATTATTATTATTATTATTATTATTATTATTATTATTATTATTATATTGTTTCATTTATAAGATTGCCGAATGTAACTCCTCTGGAAATGTTGATATTTTTGTTTGTGCTAGTCGAAGTGGAGAGTTTAACATATTTGATGTTCTGACGTAGCCCGTAGAATGTTTCACTTGGTCTCGTGTCAACAACTAGACTTTTCACGCTGTAGTCACGACAAACACTGCACAGTCCAGAAGTTTTATTGTAGCTGAAGGCCACACAATTTCCTTCACTAAGGAGGGTTCTGGGTCAATCAAGTTCAAATGTTTTGAAGATAGAAGTTGACATACTATCGTTACAACCTGTGTACTTGAATTGTAAAGGGTAAAACTGGAAAGCTGTCGATGGTTTAGTGGTGCTACAGATTTGGGAAACAACTAGCCACAACATATAACACATGATGAACTGCATTTCAATTAAAATCTCAACTTTTACATATATTCAAATCGAACTGTCTTTGAATTTATATAGTTTTTAATTAGCAGCCTAAATAGTGTAATAGTATTAATAATATTTATCGCAAATCATAATACACATATTTATTAGTTAATCTATTCGTTGGTTTTTACAAATTTAACACGAATGTAACGATATTTATTGGGATCATTTGTTTATATATGTATTAAAATCAAACTCTCTTTGAAGTATTTTACTTTTCAATTAGCAGCCTAAAGAGCTTCATAGTATTAGTAATACTGATCGCAAATCACTATAAATATATTTAGTTGGTTACTTTACGTAAGAACTCACAAATGTAGCACGTATATAAAGATATTTTGTGTAATACTTTGTGCACATCTTGTCCATTAAGTTTACAATTTACCTCTTCTACATCAACTGTAACGTAACGTTAATTTCACAGTTGTTCTAAGATGAAATATGTTATATTTCACTAAAATTGTACCTTGTTATGTTTCAACGTAATTGTGTATGCTACTACTAAAATCCAGCACCTTAACAATAATCTTAAATACGTCAGTTAAAGAAGAATTAACTGAGAGAAGTTTACACAAAAGACAACACAAAATGCTGGAGCTGAGTTGGATTTCGTATTGTGTCCCTAACATTTTCAGCGGAACAGAACCTTATATCTCTATTTTACTTGAATATAAAATCAATGCTATTGCATTCTATAGAATATAATAGAAAGGAAACGCATTCAAAGTAACAAAGGCCAAGCAAAGAAACAATTAAACCAATGGAGCCTCAATATTTTTGACTGTTTATAAAGCTGTAATTCTTTCACCACGGTTTCAGTAATCTTCTCTTTGTTACTTCTCGAATGGATTGATTTTTTCAATTTATGTCTAATAAAATACACATTTAGCATTATTGTCTATGCATATTTGTTGATGCAATTTTGTTTCAGAAAAAAATTTAGACAAATAATTTCAAATGATACATTCAATCATAAAATGACGACAATTAACAAAATAGCGGAAGAATAAGTAAAAAGTGTTTTACGTTCTGAGCATCCTTGTGACCTGTAGGGTAGGGACGCTACAGCCCGGTCACTCTACCTTCTCCCCTCTCCGGAGGTACACGTTTTTTTTGGTGCTTAGGCACTAGCCATTATTACATTATAATTATTTTGGTGCTACGGCACTTGTTCTCCTCGGAGAAATTAAACGTACGTTTGGCAACGTGTGTAGAGGACTGTGTGGCTTCTTTGGAAGGTAATTTACTCTTACTTTTATTAGCTGTAATGTTATAATATTAATTAATAAGTATGGAATGAATGGAGAACAATGTATGAATGAAAGCATATTTCCTAGTAATGTTTATTGTAGGCCTTATGTAAGGCTAATGTAAATGTATTATCTTGGTAACAATTTTAAACTTGTATGTGTCTGAATGAATGTGTATATCACACATATGTTAGGAAGTTGTCACATGTATTTTACAGCCGGCCAGCTTGGGGCTAAAACTTAGTACAGAGGTCTGTGGGTGAGGAAGTGTGACCACGCCGCCCTGGAGACCAGTCGCCCCTTCCAGGCTACTTTAAATTGTATCGTTATTACTTTGCCAATAATTAATGTATTAATAAAACTGAGTTAATTTTTAATTACCTTGTTTTTAAATACAGCTAACACTAGTTGGGTACCCTGATCAGTGACCACCCTACCATTCCCCCTGTACAAAGGTATCCTACTCTTGACCTAAAGTTGACCGGACGCCATGGCATCCTACCAGGCTACGCAGCGGTCACAGCTGGAGATTAAACGGGAGGGGGAGGCGTTAGGTTACGCGGGGACAAAGCTTTTAAAATGGGTCAGGGATGAGGTGGACGCGGAACGGGCTAGGGTAGACAGGGAACGAGAATTTCAGCAAGCAGAGTGGGCTAGGGACAAGGAAAAAGAGGAGCGTCAAATTCAGCTGTTAGAGTTGGAAATTAAACGAATAGAGTTAGCGAATCGTAGCAACGAGTATGTGGGGAAGGGGGAGGAGCAAATAGGTGTCGGATCATCGAAGGTAACACTACCAAAGTTTGATGGGGTGGCCGATCACCTAGACTTTTTTCTCCTTCGTTTTGAAGAAGAGGCTAGGCAAAACAGATGGAGGCAAGACTGCTGGAGTAATGAGCTCCGCAAATTAATGCCGGCAGAACTATTGCCAGTGTGCTTTATGGGACACAGAGCGGAAGCAAAAGCTTCCTACGAGGAGGTAAAAACTGCTCTATGTCGTCATTTTCACCTGACTGCACAGGGATATAGGCAAAAGTTTTACGCCATATCACCTGAGGCTAATGAGTCTATTGTTGCTTATAGGAACAGAGCAAAACATTATTTAACTAGGTGGGTAGACTTGTCAAAAATCGACAAGTCATTTGAAGCCCTCCGTGATTTGATGGTGGTAGATAAACTACTACACACTGTCAACGAGGACGTGGTCAATTTCATCACTGAGAGAAATGACCTAAGTCTGGACTCGGTATTAACCCAAGCCGACAATTACATGATAGCGCATCCAGATAAAAACCTAGCACGTATAAAGCATATAACTAAACCAATAGCACATATAGGCCTAGATTACAAAGTTAACAATCAGCCCAAGTCTTGCACTTTCTGTTTGAAAAGGGGACACAACACGGACGATTGTTTCCACCTGAAGCGTTACACGAGTGAGAATGCCGGGTCACGGAGCGAGGGTCACAATGACCGCCAGCCATACTCGGGTCCGGTCAGAAATAACGCCTACCCCGCAGCTGCTATCAGCAGGGGAAAGGGAGGCTATGGTAGCGCAGCGGTGGGCCAGGTTAGCTCTGGCAACCCTTTTGTTAGCCATCAGGCAGAAGAACAGTTATTGGCAATGTCGGGCAAAGGTACAATAGGTGACAGAAAGCATTTTGATCAAAGAAGGGATCCTCAGTTAGGTCTTGCATGTTTCGAGGGGGATATAAAATCTAAGGGGGGAAATATAGCTGATGGTGAAGTTAATGGGGAAAAGGTTAAGGTATTAAGAGATAACGGGTGTAGTATTATTGGTTGCAGAGAATCATTGAGTAATGGACAAAACCATAACGAAACCGTTACTTGTACATTATTTGATGGTACAAAAGTTGTTTACAAGGTGGGGTGGATTAGAATCAAATCTCCATATTTTACCGGGTGCACTAAAGCGGCGCTCCTAAAAGACCCGCCCGTGGACTTAATAATTGGTAATGTGAGTGGGGCGACGATGGGTGATAACCTAGACGTAGCAGCCGCCCTCGTCACAAAGGCACAAACTAAGAAAGTAACAAAAAAGAATGACATTACAAGATTCATCGCTGAATTTGACGTGACGGTCGAACAGTTCAAACACATGCAGACAAAAGACGAAACGTTAGCTAAGACTAAATTATTCGCTCAGACTAAACTGGACCATCACGGACCCTCTCAGTTTTATTTTAACAGCGATGGACTGTTGATGAGACGATACGCTGACGGGCAGGGCGTCAAGTGGGACCAATTGGCTGTACCTAAACCGCTGCGGCACGTGGTACTTGACCTGACCCACAGCAACAAGCGGTCAGCTCATGTGGGCGTGGCCAAAATGAAAGCTCAAATCTTAGAGCATTTTTGGTGGCCTGGCTTATCTAAGTCAGTATCCTACCATTACAAGACATGCAATGTTGGTCAAACACACAAGAAAACTAAGGTTGGCTTTGTCACTGACCACGAACATAAATCTCAAAACAATTATAAACACTGGGACTCATTTAGAGACAGAATAAAAACCAGTGCAATAAAACTAAAAGCTACAGCTAATACTTATGCTCCAAAGAAAAGACATATTGCTCCAATGATAAATAACATTGTGTATAACGGTTATAAAAATTATAACAAGCCTATAGGCCACCTTACTAAAAACAAGAATAGCCTGACAATCAATTCTGAACCAATGCCTGTAACAAAAGACTTACAGAAATGTAGGTGGTCAGAACGGTCACAATACGACGCTAGATAGACAATTCTATATAAATGTATATTTACATAAAATGCATTTGTTATCGTGTTTTATTTCAGTTGATAAATTACATGTTTAGTTAACATGATGAATGTATACTTATTTTACATGTCTTTGCATTTGTTTCATAGAGCACCCACTTTCAATGTAGGGTCTACTATGCACAGCTATTCAATTGAATGTACCAAGTAAACACTGTTAAATATAGTTATACTACTCATCATTTCTTGTGGACATAGGTGTCATTACATTTATGATAGTCCTACTAATATATGTAGTTAAAATTGATTACTTTTAGCGGTGTAAACGCTTTTGATTTCCTTGATTTTTATTTAATACAGTTGTATAATGTGATCGTACTGTAAACTTTTATTTTACACAATGACAAAATGTATGGTATGTAAGGATTTAATATGAAAAGTGTTTTTAGGTTGCGCTAAAGGTGTGCTTTCAGCAAACCATTATCGCGGGGAGGGGGATGTTATGATAGATTATAAATATCTATCATGGTGTCTCCACCTCTCCCCCCTTCTTGCTACCCCACAGGTAACGGTACACACCTGGACCTGAGTCCAGCGGTATTGTAAGGCTGACCGGGGCTCGACCTCAGACTGCGGTCACGAGGGCGGAGCCTAAGTCATGTGACCTGTAGGGTAGGGACGCTACAGCCCGGTCACTCTACCTTCTCCCCTCTCCGGAGGTACACGTTTTTTTTGGTGCTTAGGCACTAGCCATTATTACATTATAATTATTTTGGTGCTACGGCACTTGTTCTCCTCGGAGAAATTAAACGTACGTTTGGCAACGTGTGTAGAGGACTGTGTGGCTTCTTTGGAAGGTAATTTACTCTTACTTTTATTAGCTGTAATGTTATAATATTAATTAATAAGTATGGAATGAATGGAGAACAATGTATGAATGAAAGCATATTTCCTAGTAATGTTTATTGTAGGCCTTATGTAAGGCTAATGTAAATGTATTATCTTGGTAACAATTTTAAACTTGTATGTGTCTGAATGAATGTGTATATCACACATATGTTAGGAAGTTGTCACATGTATTTTACAGCCGGCCAGCTTGGGGCTAAAACTTAGTACAGAGGTCTGTGGGTGAGGAAGTGTGACCACGCCGCCCTGGAGACCAGTCGCCCCTTCCAGGCTACTTTAAATTGTATCGTTATTACTTTGCCAATAATTAATGTATTAATAAAACTGAGTTAATTACTCAATCATAATTTTAACCCTAATTTTAACATAATTTTAATAATAATAATAATACAACATTAATAAACTCAATATTACTAGAGCATATTTGCCACAATCCTAATGTAACAGTTTTAAGAATACACGCCTGTATTTGTTACAAAAATATCATTTTCACAATAAAAATAAATAATATTTTATTTTTAAATTTCAAAATGTAATGTTTTTACAAAATAAAAAAAAATGTAAATTCAATCGAAATTTGTTTTCAACCTTACAATGTAGATACTCCTATTTCTAATCGAGACCATCAAAGCAATAAAAGAAACTAAACACCGACTTGCAATAACTTAATGCTTCCATTCACTTTCATCAACCGTACAGCACTTAGGGGTAGCACGTACTGGTAGCTGTTCAGGTAGTTTCCATTCACAAAAATGACGTAGTTGTTGACTCCTGCCAGAATGTGGACTACAAATTTTTCTCCCACGTTGAACGGAAAGACCTGGGGAGTATTAAGAACTTCGTATCCCCATTGGCCGTTGATAAAGTGGTTAATGGTTATAGAATTCTCTCTGGGCCTGAAATTTAGCATCTGATCATTGCTGTTTCGATGTAGTAGAAAAACAAATCCACTGGTATTGGCGTACACACCACGAAGCACAATCTGCAACAAAAATAAAACAAAAACATTATGAATAAAATTAATTACTAAGTATATATTCAACAGATAACCTGTTAATAAAAAATTGCTTATCTTGTACTTTTTCGAAATGTAAATTGATAGTGCTTAATTTTTCTCGAAACCGAAACCAAAATCATTACCTCAGCTTTAAATTTGACCGGAAACGATAACTGCAATTGAAAACGTATTTTTATCTAGAATTGGCTCTTTAACCTGTTTTACCCTTGATCTACACTTTGTTACTGCACATTTATACTAAATGTAGCCGAAGCCAACTAAACTCAAACGTGACAAAAGTCGCATTCAGAGTTTCTTTCAGGCAACTCTTTCGCCCCTTCCCCCAGAAGAACATCAACCGCCCCTATATCGAAATAAAATTTATATAAAAATATACTTTTATAAGTGTCCTCCCTCCTCTCCGGAAAATTTAGTACACGCCCCCACCCCCCCTCCCCCCAAAAAAATTCAGGTGGCTCTTTCCCCCTCAATCCAGGGAAAGAAAAGTCTGAAATTAACACTCACCGTATTAATAGATAATACAGACTAAAGACAGATGTTACTTCTATAATCTAGAAATATTTCCTATTTTTGGCGGCTATACCTCAATAATGCAGGGAGTGCTACTTTCAGACTTTTTCTCATGGTGAGGGGGGGGGGAGCTGACCAGTAGTGTAGGCAGATGGGATTAGGATAGCCCACCCCCATGGATCAATGTTCCCTCTAAGGACCAAGAGTGTGTGTGCAAAAAATATGTTGTGTGCGCGGTGCTAAAAATGACTTGGGCAAGTTAATATGTATGTTTAAGCTTGCAATTAAGGAGTGTAATGAAGGCATGCATTTTGATTAATTAATAGTATAATGTGTAGGACTAATGAAACGTATGCAATTAAAAGAAGATACAAATCCCATCTAAATAAAATAAAATACACAACAGGAACTTTTAGAGTTATACTTAGACAACAGGTTATATGGTCGATGTACTTTGTTAGTGTAATGCAATCGTATGTTAAAAATGTTAATACCATAACGGTAACACAAATACAACAGTTTAACATGTAAACCATTTTAAAGAGCTGACTTGAAAACAAAATTAGCTAACCTTTCAGGGGCATTTATTGCAATTTCTCGCGTCTAACCTTGCCTTGCTTCCACACCTTATATGCTTTGTTTAAATCCACATCCTCTCCAGCATTTAGATATAATTTAATTCGCATTAGATTTCCTAAATGTGTGGCTTCAAGTCTATTTCGTGCTTGCACTTTAATGCTGTTCATAAGGCTAAAACCTCGCTCGCAATCAGCGATAGATACTTGAAAAGTACAGCATATGTCAATTAACTTTGCCAATGAGCTAAAGTGTTCATCATTTAAAGCAACTCCTGCGTTTTCAGTTAGTGCATTTACTGAACCTGATTTGAGTTTTTCACTGATCTGAAATTTGAAGTAATTTATTGCGTGATAATTGACTCTTCATTTGTTGTTTGTAATACGTCTTTGTACTTTACGCAGTTCTTTGATATCTTTGACGCCAGACTCAATTGTGCAATTTCTAAAACCAGCAGGATCAAAAGCTGAAGAAAACTGCAGTTCATCTGCTGGAGACCTTACATTTAAATGATCGCAGACCGATCGTATAAACTGTGTGATTTGTCTAAGTTGATTCCTACGTTTTCATTCAAAATTGTCTTTGCTTTATCATTTCAATAAACATCTTCACTCAGGTATTGTGCTTCTAATTTGCGTATTCTAGAAAAGCAAAATTGATGTGCTTCAATAGATGATAAATTATTTCGCTGCAACAACATTGATAGATTAGCTAATTCAGTTAATAAATCATTAACGGTATAAAGCGCAATTTGATACAGGGGATCTTTTAATGATTTCAAAACATAACAACAAACAGGATAATTGCAGTCTTGGACTAGTTCTTCACAGTAAGCAGCTAAAACATCAAGATTTCTAACAAAAGCACTGACAGCAAAGTGACGTTACAATAAACTTCGTAAATTGGTCGAAAAGAAATTACATCCATATCATGCACCTTGGCCAATTCTTCAAATGCGCCCTTTTTAACTGAAGGTCGAACTCAGTGCTGTTCAACAAGGTGGGGGACCTTAGACTTCAATAAAGCAGCTAATCCCTTCCTACGGCCTAACATAACCGATGCCCCGTCTGATGTTATCATTACCATGCAGTTTCATTTCAAGTCGATGTTCAGTATAGTGTTGTGTTATGGCTTCCAGAGATGAGGCATAACATGCGGTAAGCTGAATTATTCCACCAAAAACGGTTTTGTAGAATAAAGAATTGACTGAACGAAATTTAAAATAAAGGATTAGCATTTTATGTACAGTTATGTCAGTACTTTCATCAACTATAAGCGTGTGGAACGATGCTACTCGAAGTTCTGTCAGTGTGTTCTTTACAACCACCTCGTTGATTGCTTCAACAAACTCAAAGGCGTAATTCTTACTTCGCCAACTGTCTGATATAGAAACATACTTCCCCATGTGGTTATGAATCAGTTGTACCGACAGCATCGAGGCGTGTATCCTAATGGCGAGAAGAACATTATCCATTAGGATTAGAACTTGATCCTTGTTTGACCGCTGGCGCTCATTTTATTCAACTCGTTCTTCTCGCTCAGTGTTAGTTTCAAGTACTAGCAGCACAGAACTTATACTTCAGGTGCTTTCTAATTCAACTGAAACATTCTTAGAATATGGCGTTTCGGTTCTCACTTTAACTTTGAGCCATTCCAGTTTAAACGAATCTCTCGGTCTTTTTTTTTTTTGCTGCATTGTTTTACCGCTTGTTACACACATTTTTCTTTTCAACATGTTCAAATAGCACAGAGTAGTAAACTTTTATTCCTTATTTATTAAACCAGTCTGTGAATACTGAAACAGTTCGATCCATGTGCACGTAATAATCCCAAGAATTGGATATACAGTATATAAATCCTTAAACCAAACAGAGCGAAAAAAAAACAACACATCCACCGTTAGAATAGTAGAATTTGCATCTGACTTGGGTAAATCGTGAAAGTATCAAGGAGGTGGGTGGGGTTGGGAGATGGGGGAGGGCGGTGGCAATAGAAAATAAAACCTTGCATGGTCAGCTACAAGCCGTGATGCCTTTCAGGTATTAGGTGTCAGTGCTGCGGTCAGTTTTGGGGTAAACCATTAAATCAAGCAGAGGGAGTGTCACCCAGACATTAGATCGGAACCCGCCCCGCTCAGTTTAGAGTTGTCATTAACTGGACCTGTGGTATGACAACCGAGGTCACCCCCTCCCCCCAGTCAATGCTACCTGTGGTTTATGCCCCAAAACACAAAGACTGTTCGTTTAAAAAAACAGGTACTAAAATGTCGCTTCATTCAAGCCACTGGCTACAATTTTTTTTAGTGCATTAGGCTTGCCCGACGTTCTGATAATCTGTGCGCGGCATCAAAAAATGTTTGCGCGGCACATTTGAAAGTACTGCGCGGCCGCGCAGCCGCGCAGCTTAGAGGGAACACTGCCATGGATCCCTCTGTAAATTTTTTTATTGTCATAATACCACTGCTACTTATTTAAATCTATTTTTGAATCAGTATACATGTATAATTGAATATGTATATTTAGAACAGTCATCTAAAAACTGACGCCATGTCCACTCTGAGTCGGTTATGTTTAACCCTAATCACCACAATTGTCTCAGATTAACGTCACACCTAGGGCACCCCGACAAAAGAGCGCACGACAAAAGAGCTGGTGTTTTCATTTGTTTTTTTTATGCGTTTGTTTTATTCTTTTGTGTTTGTGTGTTGCATTTGTGTTTTCGTTTGTGTTTGCATTGTGTTTCTGTTTTCTTTTGTGGTTGTGTTGTGTTTGTGTTTTCTTTTGTGTTTGTGTTGTGTTTGTGTTGTGTTTAGTTTTGTTCTGTTCTCAAGTTGGTACATTTAAAAAAGATTTGGCGGAGCACGGGTATGCAGCTAGTAATTATATAAAAGCTTGACATTGTATCTGAAACTTTTAAAATGAATTATTATGTACTTCTTTCCAATTTGCATTGTCTTTGAATCTTGCCCCCAACCCCGTGCCAAGTTTCAGTGAATTTGGTCGGTTCAAAGTGTCGAGATTTCGCTCGGCAATTTCGATCTATGACGAAGCAGTAAGCACGACAGACAGACAGAGAAAGCAAGCTTAATAAAAGCTTGTGAAAAGAATTTAAGTGAGATTTGGCGTGTTTTTCGACAGAAGTAGAGACAAGTAATTAGAATATACACATGTTTAAAATATCTACTTCCTGTAAGTAACGATGTCTAAGCAACACCTGTCTTTTATTTCATTTCCAACTCTTGACGGACTCTCACATCCATGCTACAACTACTTACTCCCTTTCCCAACATACCCGAGTTCATTCGACTAGTCGCTTCAGTTTTCCCCTTCGTTCTCTCCACACAACACAAAAGTCAACAAACTCGGACTCGACACTATCTAACAGTACAATAGCAAAGGTACACATCTACGGACGCACACAGTTTTTCGATTAAAAAACCCCATTCATAGTACATTTCACATCCCCACACAAAGCACAGTACTTTAACTTTATAAAAGTGGAGCAGAATTACAAACATTCTTTTCCAAATTAAATAGTTATAAATACATGCATTTTAAAAACTGTACACAATAAACCCAAATTTGTTTTAAACACTTTTGAAACTCCCGCTTTAGTTTTTCAAAACGACAATTTATGTCCCTCTAGTATTGTAATTTTACTTATAGTGCAGATTTCGCCAGATCATGTTTTTACTGACCACATAGTAATCCTCTATGAGCATGATTATTGAACAGTCAATTGAGTTACAATAACCTCTCTACATGATCTTTGTCCATTTTGAGAAAGTGTTTTATCAGAGGTGTAGTTGGGAATTTGTTGAACCACAATGGGATCCGTCCGAAATTCTTAAACACTATTTAACAGCTCTATGAAGATTC